GATCAAACTGAGATCGCCCATGGAAAATTCAGCAAGCATAATTTCAAGCAATAAACCCTGTAATTGATAGAGAATGCAAGTAATTTAGTGCAGAATCCTTAGAAAAGTTGTTCGCCACCCAAACTACGGCGTTGTGAATAGTATCAAGAGAATGCAGAACTTTAATCCATGCTTGGATTTCCTTCCAGACTTGCATCGAAAAACAACGGTTGAAAAATAAGTGGTGAGTACTTTTTGAATGTTCTTTGCAAATGGCACATGTGGTTACTTTTTTTTATTATTATTATTATATAGAAATCCGCAATCGCTATTTGATGATGAGTACACTTTGGGTAAATTCTTAGTCGAACCTAATATCCTGCAAAGCATATCTGGTTACTTTAAAAGTATGTACAGCGATAAAAAAAAAAAAAAAAAAAACCTGAATAAAATACGTAGAAGTGTTTGAGAGCCACTTATTAAGACCTTTTGCATAAATTGAGCAATCAATCGTACAACAATCAATTTTTTTTTTATTTTTTTATTTTTCCAAATCTCTAGTTTTGCCTCATAGACACCAAGCTTTTACCAACCTTGTGCATTCAAATGGTCTAGATAAATGATTCATTATGTGCCAACTTTTTAACTATCAGAAAATAAAACATCCATTTTCGAGATGGACTCGAGAAATATTTCATTGCATATGCTCTTATTATAATAAGAAAGAAATTTTTTTGGTTTTTGTTTCTAATCGATCCTACCTACCAAACCTGACCCGATTCAAATCTTACCTGACCCAGATTGGAAATGAGATTAAAATTGGATCTCACCATTTTTCGCGTTGAACAAATATGCTCTATTTTCTCCTTGCCTCCGTTCTGTTCACAACTTTGAAACCAGTCCCTATCGATTCCATTTTTATCGGTGCTTATCTCGTTCAACCTCGGTTCCGATCCTTTGCTCAATAAGGTAAGGTTGTTACCTTTTTTTCTTGGGGTTTATGGATTACTCCCTTTAGCTATAAATATGTTTGTGGGTTTGGGATGTGGGAGCCGAGAGAGATATTAGTCGCTTGGTGTGATCCTTTGTGTTCTTCCTTACTTAGTGCTTGCAGGAGTTCTCGCGGATCTCCTCCCTTCTTTGTTCGTTGTGGGATTACTGGTTCCTCGGTGTCAAAACACTCGATTCTCTCATTTGTGGTGTTGCCTCGTTGGAAGGCTTGGAGTTGGGACAGAATGGACTGTGATATGAGCCTACCGAATTATTTCAGATATTTTATTTATATTATAGCACTGTTTTTAGTTTTTTTTAGTTATTATTTTGATTATTGGCACTAACCTATTAATACTCTTAGTGAGATTATTTGGTTGCAGGAATAACCCGAGACATCAATCCTAAAGGAAACAAATTCCTAACATTGGTATCAGAGCTTTGGTTGGAATCGGACACGGGTTCGACGTTTGTTTGAAAATTAGAATATTATTTTACCCTGGATTTGGTAACGGAAGGCTAACCCTTATTTTTATTTGTTAATTGGTTATAGGGTAAGCCATGGTTAAATACTTTGTGGGTAATCTTGATAATTATAATTCTTGTGATTGTGTTGACACTACTATCATGTAACTGGCTGCTCCAAGAGCGAGTTAGTAGCTAACTACTGATATTTAGTAAATTGTGTGACATTATTGTGTGACAATTGTATGGTTTTTGTGTTGATACTTGGGCATTATGACAACTGTGTCTATTGCACCTTTTGACAGAAATTTGATTTTTCAATTTTGCAACAAAATATGAAAAGTATGTTAGTAACACAAAAGGTTGCCAAAGCCATTAATGGTGATTTTAATCATTTGTTGACTGAAGATAGAAACATTGAGTTAGATGAACATGTATATTCGTTGATAATATTGAATTTATGTAACTCTTTGATTAGAAAAATAGAAAAGCATAATTCTGTAAAAGAACTTTGGGAAAAATTAGAAGAAATCTATATAGAAGATCTTTGCCGAATAAATTGTTTATACTTGAAAAGTTCTTCAGATATAAACTTGATTTATCTAAATCAATAGATGAGAATCTTGATGTTTATACTTGAAAAGTTCTTCAGATATAAACTTGATTTATCTAAATCAATAGATGAGAATCTTGATGTTTTTACTAAACTTGTTCAAGATATTAAACAACTAGGAAACAATAATATTGATTAATACACCCCTATTGTGTTTTTGAATGTCATTCTTGAATCTTTTTCTAATTTCAAATATGCTAATAAATATAGTAGAGATAATATAACTCTTGAAAAAGTTATGAGTGGGTTAAAGAGTAAAGAATTAGACTTGCAGGTTAATGGGAAAGAAAAAACAAGCACTTGATGAGGTCTTTTTAGCTATAAGTAAGTCACAAATTCAAAAAAATTTGACAATTAAAATAAGGGCAAGTGGAAATGTAAGAATAAGAACTGCTATAATTGTGGGAATAAAAATCATTTTATAAATCAATGTCTGCATCATAAAGAAAATTTTATAAACCAACAATGTGATGAAACAAATGTGACTATAGAGGATGAGACCGTAGATTACGTGTTTATGGTAAAAGATAATGTTTCTACTATTGATCCAGTGTGAAAAATTGAATGGTTACCTAATATTACCTTTGAGAAATTTGTTTTCGATGTGTAGCTCTTTGTCACATGCGTTTATTGGTATATATGATGTTAATCTAAAGTTTTTTATTATATGTTAACTTTGGAAATTAGATAGGTTGATTTTAAAACTTGGTGTTGTTTACTTTGTTTTGCATATATGTTTACTTTATACTTATATATATGCTTTTGTGTGCAATATCTATGTGGTAAATTGCATGTATAAAGATGATGATGTTAGCATGTTCTTCGCTCTTGTTTATACCCTCAAATGCAATAATGATGGTTGACTAGAAACAATAAGGAGATTGTTGGGTTTTTGTTTCTAACCGACCCTACCCACCAAACCCAATCCAATCCAAATCTTACCGGACTCGGTTTAGAAATGAGATTAAAATTGGAGCTTACCCTTTTTTTCATGTTGAACAAATTTGCTCTATCTTCTCCTTGACTCTGCTTTGTTCGCAACTTTGAAATCAGTCTCTATCGATTCTATTTTTTCTGGTGTTTATCTCGTTCAACCTCGGTTCCGATCCTTTGCTCGATAAGGTAAGTTTGTTACCTCTGTTCTTGGGGTTTATCCATTACTCCATTTAGCTATAAATATATTGGTGGATTTTTTGGTTTGAGATGTGGGAGCTGAGAGAGATTAGTCGCTTGGTACGATCCTTTGTGTTCTTCTTTGTGTTCATTCTTATTTAGTTCTTACAGGAGTTCTGTCGGATCTCCCCCGTTTTTTGTTCTTTTTGGGATTACAGGTTCCTCGGTATCAAAACCCTTGATTGCTCTCCTTTGTGGTGTTGTCTTGTTGGAAGGTTTGGAGTTGATTCCGAGTGGACTGTAATATAGTCTATCAACTTATTCCAAATATTTTATTTATATTATAGCACTGCTTTTTAGTTTATTTTTAGTTATTATTTTGATTATTGACACTCACCTAGTAATACTCTTAGTGATATTATTTGGTTGCATGAATAACCCGAAACATCGATCCTAAAGAAACCAAATTCGTAACAAAATGTTTTGAGTAGAATAATAGAAAATATATTTTTAATTGGAATAGAGAAAATATTAAGTAAAAATTATAAGTATATACAATGAAATAGTTGTTTTGCTCTTTTTTGTAGAAGAGCGCAGAATTTTTAATTTTACATGTGGCTGTGCAAATTTAACTGCATTATGTTCTTCAAAGAAAAAGAACATAGCGTTGTCGATGCTCTATTAGTTTCTATATTTATTTTAATTTATTTATTATAATTAAAATATTATTATTTATTAATTTTACTGAAAGAAAAATTGTATACATTTTGTTGATATATAGAAGATATTAATTTTAAATATATTATATAGTCAAAGAATGTTTTAACTTAATAAATATTTCTTTCGTTCCATTTAGGGTGTGTTTGCTTGTAGGTTTGAATTTTGGATTTGGATTTTTGAGGATTTTGAAGTAAGAATTTTTAAGTTGTGTTTGTTTGGGAGTTTAAATTTTTGTAATGATTATATTGAAAAAAATTATTATTTTATTAGAAGAATTGATATATATATATATTGATGTGATAGTTTGAATTAATGTATATTTAAATATTATAAAAATTATGAGTAATAGTTAAAAGTGAAATTTGAATTAATACGAATATAATTACATTTTAAAATAGAAATAATACATATATAAATACTCTATTTTTTTTAATATAAATTGGGTTATATATCTATATATTTTTAATTTGGAGTCATAAATTTATTTTATTTTATTTTATTTTATTTTATTTTATTTTTAGTGACGAGAAGAAAAACAGTATCCAAACTACAGTTTTCCTCTCGACTTTGACAAATTTTTGAATATTGCTGGCATGCTTCCGACAAACACTGCACACAGGGGTAGTTTTTTCAAAAGGTAAGGTATAGCGGTACCGGGGTGGATAGTATAGATTTTACAAAACTAACTGATACAGTAAATCTATAGTAAAAAAACGTTCAAATCCTCTAACCGAACACAACCTTAGGGTATGTTTCTTTCGATGTAATTTGAAAAATTTTGATTTGAGTTTATATTAAAATAATGTATAATGAAATATTTTATAAATTTTTTTTTTTTTTAAAAAAATACATTCTGAAATTTAAGATTAAAGAAACAAACTTTAACTATTATCAAATAGATATTTTAGAAAATATTTTAATACAAATAATTACTACAATCCATTAATCAAATCATTTAATAGAATCAATTAACAAGATCCCTACTACATTTTAGGCTGCAATGGGCACTAAATCCAACAACTTCGGACATTTATTAGTTACGATGTTTTTAGTTTAAAGAAACATTCGGGGCAGGGCGGGAGAATAAAAATAAATTGATTTTGGAAAGAAAATGACCCCGAGCTGAGTGCAGTATTACAATTGTGCCACTGATTCCACTAGGGCAAACTGCAAGCAAGGAAGGCACAGGCCACGCTCGCTCGCCTTCTCAGATTTTCTTGAAAGCTCTCTCGCCACTCTTCTTTATCCTCCTGCTCCACTCCCGCTTTTGGATCGCGGAAAGATCCACACTTTTTAGAGCTTAATGGCTTTGGCGTTCGATGAATTTGGTCGTCCGTTCATTATATTGAGAGAGCAGGAGCAGAAAACCAGGTTGCGGGGTCTGGATGCTCAAAAGGCCAATATTGCTGCCGGAAAAGCTGTGGCTCGCATCCTCCGAACGTCTTTGGGACCCAAAGGCATGGATAAGATGCTTCAGAGCCCTGACTGCGATATAACCATAAGTGAGCTCTGCATTTCACCTATATATGGATTACGTTAGTACGAGTGTGTTTGCTCGAATCCTTGAAGAGATGCTTGTGTATTTTCAAATCAGCCCAGTTTCGAAAATGTAGTTTGTTTTTAGTTATGCTTGTACTTGTCGAAGAGCTTTAGTGATAGTGTGAACACTCGGGAGCTTAAGGGGGAAGGAGATTTGTTACCTTATGGGGCACTCAGTATCATGTTAAAAAGGAACTTATATCAGCTTCTTGACGATGTATCTAATAATACAATAGTGACAGCATTAAACAGGTGTTTCTTGTTTCTTTTAAAACCTAAGCTAATTGGTTGTTGAATGCTAGAAAACCATTATCAATCTCTTTATTCCTTGCGGAAATTTGCTTTGTAGGAGAGATTTCATTCTATTGATTATTTACAAACTTAGTTTGGAAGTTTCATGTTTTATAGAATTATTTAATTCTGATTGTTTTTCTTCAGCAAATGATGGTGCGACAATCTTGGACCAGATGGATGTCGACAATCAAATAGCTAAGCTCATGGTTGAACTATCGCGAAGTCAAGACTATGAGATTGGTGATGGAACAACTGGAGTTGTTGTCATGGCTGGTGCACTTCTAGAACAAGCTGAGAAACTATTGGAACGTGGGATTCATCCCATCCGGATTGCAGAAGGATATGAAGTTGCATCTAAGATTGCTGTCGAGCATTTGGAGCATATAGCATATAAATTTGAATTTGATGCAACAAACATTGAACCTTTGATTCAGACTTGTATGACTACTCTATCCTCCAAAATGTGGGTAATCATGATCATGTTTAATTCCCCCATTGTAGAGGTTACATCGCCTAAATTATTTTTTCTATACGGCAGTTAAAAGTTTTGAATATCTTGTATTATATTTTGCCCTGTCTCCAGCATGTCTCCCCAATTTTGAATTGGATTAGTACTGTGTATTCCTAGAAGAAATAACTGTTTGTATGGTTAACTTTAGCGAGTATCTTGTACTATTATGTTAGCTTGTTTTCTTATTTCCAGCTTTACTTTTCAGTGTGAATAGATGCAAGCGCGATTTGGCAGAGATTGCAGTTAAAGCAGTGCTTGCTATTGCAGATTTGGAAAGGAAGGATGTTAATTTAGATTTAATTAAAGTAGAGGGAAAGGTAGGGGGAAAGCTGGAGGATACTGAACTAATTTACGGGATCATTGTTGACAAAGATATTAGCCACCCACAGATGCCGAAACAAATTGAGGATGCAAAAATTGCCATTTTAACTTGTCCTTTTGAGCCACCAAAACCAAAGATTAAACATAAGGTTGGTATTGATACTGTTGAAAAGTTTCAGACTTTACGTGAACAGGAGCGAAAGTACTTTGATGATATGGTCCAGAAGTGCAAGGTAATCTTGTATTGGCCTCTGATGTTTAATTTGGAAAAAAAAAATAAAATTGAGGGAATATATCGTAGTATGTTTATTTGTTTTATAAGGGGTGTGTTTGTACAATGGATTGGACAAAATCTTCTTTCTCATTTTGCATGGTGGTGAACATTGTTGAAGACTCCTGGGATAGATTTCAATTATTTAATTCTCTATTTTTCTGGTTAATCATTTTAGAAAGCTTTTTAATTGACTGAATATTTTGGCATAACTGTGTGTGGATTGAAATGTTTGCCCTCAATGAAATTTCTGTTTGTTGACCTATGTGCTTCACAATATTATAAAGTTAAACCTTGTAATTTACAAGTCTCATTGAATTGCAGGATGTTGGGGCTACGTTAGTAATCTGTCAATGGGGCTTCGATGATGAAGCAAACCACTTATTAATGCATAGGAACTTACCTGCCGTGCGGTGGGTTGGTGGAGTTGAGTTAGAGTTAATAGCCATAGCCACAGGTTTTCATTTATTCCTGCAATTCTATCATTCTACTTAAACATAGTTGTAGCCTTTTTTCCTTTGTTTTTTTTAAATCCTTTTGATATCAACTATGGTTTCAGGTGGGAGAATTGTCCCAAGATTTCAGGAGTTGACTCCAGAGAAGCTAGGGAAGGTAACACTCAATTAAACAGCAAATTATTGGTCGTCTCCTGCCACACAAATTTTCATAGATTTGTTTGGTTACTTGTGCATTGCATACTATTTTAATATGGTTATTTCTTAAAATGGTTTCACTATGTTAATTACAATTATGCATTGCAGGCTGGTTTGGTTCGAGAAAAAGCTTTTGGTACCACTAAAGATCGAATGATATATATAGAGAACTGTGTAAACTCAAGGGCAGTCACCATATTTATACGTGGTGGTAGGTCAATATTATATATTCAAGCTTCTCGTTATCCTGTATATTTTTTATTTCTAATGGTTGGGCATGAAGTTTTCATTAAAAATTTTGATACACGTTCTTGTTTTTGGCAATGATTTAGGTAACAAGATGATGATAGAGGAAACCAAGCGCAGCATTCATGATGCTTTGTGTGTTGCTCGGAACCTTATTCGCAACAATTCAATTGTGTATGGTGGTGGTTCAGCTGAAATATCTTGCTCGGTTGCTGTGGAAGCAGCTGCTGACAAGTACCCGGGGGTTGAGCAGGTGAGAAATCTAGTTTTCACCTTGTTGTAAATTGTTTTCTACTTATTGGCCTTATGTTTTTCGCATGTTTCTTTTGGCAGTATGCAGCAAGAGCATTTGCAGATGCTTTGGATGCAGTCCCCATGGCTCTTGCTGAAAATAGTGGCCTCCAACCTATAGAAACTTTATCTGTCGTCAAGGCTCAGCAGATCAAGGTAAAGGTTCAGTTAGAGCTTTCGTATTTCCTCTCCCTCTCCAATTTATTCCCCAACTTTCATCTTCACTGTTATTTAAGAAGTATGATCCATCCTTATTTCCCCTGCAGGACAACAACCCATGTTGTGGCGTCGACTGTAATGATACGGGCACTAACGACATGCAGGGGCAAAATGTGTTTGAGACACTAATTGGGAAACAGCAACAATTTCTGCTTGCAACTCAAGTAGTCAATATGATTTTGAAAATTGATGATGTTATCTCTCCATCTGAATATTGATTTTTGCCTGAGGGATTCTGCTTGCCATTCTTTTTTTGTTTGGCTTTTGATTTGGTTGAAAATCTTCTCTTTTGGTCTTGCAGTCTGTCTTGGTGTCAATTCATATTTTTGGATCGTGTTCGTGTCGGGTTGAGCCATGAGGATAACAAAAAAATTGTCAACCCGAACTCGAAATCTGACCTGAAACCCTAGACCCGAACACGACACGAATTCTTTCAGGTCGGGTTCAGGTTGATTTGAATTAGTTTCAGGTCACCCGAAATCCGAACAAATCCGACACGAAACATACCCGAAATTTAAAAAAATTAAATTGATCTAAAAAATATTATTTTTATTTTTATTTTTATATTATTTTATATTTAAAATAATATAAAATATTATAAATTAAAATAATAATAATAAAAATTTCAGGTCAACACAACCCAAAATCTAACCTGATTTTGATATCTCAGATTATCAGGTCAACCCGAAACACACGATCCGAACACAACACGAATTTTTTTAGTTTCAGGTTCGGATCGACTTGATTTTTTTCAAACCCGAAATATCCAAACCTGAACCTGAAAAATTTCAGGTCCTAACGGGTTCGATTTTTTGGGTCGGATTTACTTTTGACACCCCTATCCAGGAAGGAACATTCATGTTTGGGTTAGGCTAATTTTTGTGAAAGTGAATGTAAACTTGATGCAAGAAGTGAATTTCAAACAAGCTAAACCAGAATATTTACTGCTTGAATCCAACCAGACAAGATAAAAGAGTCAATAAATAAAATTCCTAAGAGGCTAATTCTGTAGCAGCAGCTCCTAAGAAAACCTACTTTCTTCACAAGCACTGTTCATGGTGATATATACACAAATAGCAGTATCTCAGGGACATACATAATCCAGAGTAAGGTGATGATGAGACACTCAATCACTTTTAACCATCTAGCAAAGATCCCAACATTGTTGTTCAATTGAGATCAATGGCTACATATTCTGGCATTGCTCTCTCAGATTGATTCTCGACAAGTTGAACCCCGAGCTGTCCTTTGTCTCCGGCGCCAAATGCATAGAGTTTGTTAGAGTCGGTGAGAGCAAATGTGTGAGCATTCCAGTATATGGAATTTGTTAGGCTTATCTGCACAACGCCTTCCTTCACCTGCTTTAGTGACGTTACGAGCTCTGGCTGTAACACATTTGTTCGCCTATTTCCCTATACACGAAACATATTAAGGGAGGCGTCACAATGGGCATTTTACTTGTATAATATTTTTGTATTCTAATTTGTTACAAACCTGCTCATCATCATCATCGCCACCAGCGGCATCAGCATTGTGTCCGAGACTTGAAGATACTCCACAGCCAAAGGAATAAACATCTCCGCCATCAGAAACCACAAAGGTGGTATAATCACCAGTAGCAACATGAACAGCTTTGACATTGCCTAGTGCTTCAACCACCTTTGGAGTGTATTGACAATCTTCATTTCCATGTCCTAAGCATCCATACCGGCCCCAGCCCCACGTGCACACCCTTCCATCTTTCCCAACCACGGCAGCATGCCAAGCACCAGCTGCCACAACCACTGGCTGAAGATTCAATGTCTGGAACTGTTCAATCAATCTTGGTGTTTTCTCATCATTTCTACCGCCATGCCCGAGCTTTCCACCCAACCCACAGCCCACTGAGTACACTGACCTGATACACCAATCAAATGCTACTTAAGAGATTATATAACTGTATACCTGCCAAATTTAAGCCAACAATTCAAGAAATTTACTTCAATACTCAACCAACTATGAATTAGCATCATTGTGGTAAAGCCTCACCAATGCTTCATCTTCACGTGGGTCAACATACACATTTCACGAAAAAAATTTCATTTATACATGATTCTTCAATATAAAGAACTACAGAAAAAGCTTACATGCCACTCGGTTGACAAGCCAAAGCAAGAAGGTAGCAGTATCCAGCTGCAATTTGAACCACTGGGATATTTTCAAGGGTCCCTGACAATGGACGAGGCTCCAAATCATTCGGCTCAGTTTGATGGCCGAGCTTGCTTTCATCCCCCCATGAAAATGTGTAAACTGTGCCCTCTCTTGACAAAACAGCTGTAAAGAAATTTCCAATTGCAGCTTGAACCACAAATATACCTTTCAAAGATTCCACTAGCTGAGGTGTGGAAATAAATTTATTTCCTATCGACGCATATTCAGCTTCACCATAGGAATCTTTTCCAAAGGCATATACTTGTCCAGCATCACTTGTTAGCATTGTCCGACCAGCCCCAACTGCAGCGTGAATTATACGAATACCCTGTAGAGATCTACATTAGAAAAAGCCTAATAAGTTCACCTCCAAGCCATCATCCTTCATACCTATCATGTTTGTGCAATATCAGGTCTACCAGTGACGAATAAACTATCTACCTAAGCAGGCGAGGCTGTGACTCCTCATTCATAGCACCATGTCCTAGCTGTCCACAGCTTCCAGCACCAAATGAATACACAGCTCCTTTAGAAGTCACAACAACACTGTGACCAGGACCGGCTATTGCTTGCGACTTCTCTCTCCTAGTACACACTTCTCCAGCCAGCAAGAACCTCAAGACTAGTTTCCAAGATCCGCCACATATGTGCTTCAAATTTTGTTGTTGTTCCCTTGTCATTCTCTTAAATATGGCTCTCTTCTGGCACATATCGAGCGCTGCAAGCTCTGCCAGCGAGAGATCATGGTCAGGTGCAAAGTGCGCAGGCTGCTTAAAGAAGGAACAAGTTGCCTGCACAGAAAAACAACCCAATCAACGGCATTATCAATTCTAACATCAATTGCAACATCAGCCGTGAAAATATATTTTATAACCGGCTTGCCTCAAGTTTTGCAAGATCTTGCGGATCTATGTTGCAGGCAGTGAGGAAATGGAGAACAATGGAAGGGTTGGCAGATAATGGGAACTCTCCCGGGCTAGCATTTCCAAAGCAATGACGCTGCTGCCTCTGCCATGTTATGGGACAGGGGACAAGTGAAGTGGTTGTCTGCTCGGAAATGTTGTGACATTGAATGCTCGATGATTCACCAGCAGTGGCATCCATGGGCACCACTTTACTTCAGCAGTGCCCTAACTTGGCAGAATCGAAATTTAATTGACTGTAAAACCACAAGAATATGTTAATGTTGATATAAATTTCTTTATAATAACAACACTGCTGCAGCCTACATACGTAACTTCAACTTGAAAAGAGAACCAGCTAACAAAATGAGGTTCTATACAGCACCTTTAAGTTATGAGTTGCGCAAGTATCTTACATCAAGCCTGCAAGTATACAGGAAAAAATGTCAGTGCTAATTTGGACCTTGAATATGACAGCAGGCAGATGATCAAAGTAGGAAATAGATTCCGGAGATAAAGCATACAGACTAGCCAATTTCCATTAAACAAAGAAAACCTAAAATGGCAGCATCATGTCAAATAGGCATCAAACTAGCAGACACATTAACAAGCTACATCGCCGCAAAGAATATTACTTGCATCGGCAGAATGCGTAAGAAGGACACAAAGGATACTGTTTGATGAAGCGTACCAAAACTCCCATTTTAAGAATATTCCACACCCAAAAGAAAAGCCAGAAAAAAAGAGAGAAAAACAAGTAAGAATTATGCAGCATACCCATAACCCATAAAATCCACCATTGATGATCGACCAGAATTTTACAAAAACCGGGGAATATTTAAGCAGGGTAGAGTCTAATCCGTGGAATCCGATACACAAACAGATCAAATAACAAGAAAATATTTATATATGCATATCAGCAAAATTTACATGCAAAAGGGCCCGAATTTGCTCAAGACCCACGAGGCATCTGCTATGAGAAATCCCCACAATAGATGCAGCAATTCAGATCAAGAAGAAAATAAATTCTTCAATTGGGTTTGAGATTGATTGAAGCGATTATTTGGGGATCGCGTGTGGTTAGACGATGGCGATGATCAAAAGGATTGGGAAATTGGTCAGTTGATTGAATATCTGTTTCGGAAAAGGAGGAGGCGAAGGGGTGGGGTGGGGGAAGGAAAAGCTATTAGAAGAGTTCATTCGTAAATGATGATATAGTCAAATAATACAAGAAACCCATCTGGACTGGAATAATGTAAAATTGAAGGGAAAGGAACAGCTGGAGAATGACCAAGGAAGAAAATGAGCCAACCTATTTTATTTAAGGGGCTGTGAGTTTGTGTGATCCACGCACGCACGCTCCCTACCTTTTACTGCTTCAAGAAAAGCGAAACAAATAATAATAATAAATAATAATAATAATAATAAAAAATAGTAAAAACAAAATATATCCCTATTTCCATGGAACCACACACAATACAATACAATACAATACATACTCATGCAATGGCGGTTTATATGGCAGCTGACTGAGACTGAGTGACTAGCAAGCAAAACCAGAAGGATTGCATTTGCACCGCATTATCGGCAGATTCTACAAATCCTTCCCTTTCTATTGCTTTGGAATTTGGAAGTGCCCAGCACCAACCTATATATCGGAAATTTTACTGTAAATACAAGTATGAGAAAATGTCCAAAATTACTGTTATATTGAAAATTTTTATATAGACATTATACTAATTTTTTCTGTTCACTGTATTGAGTGGTTAATATATTTAAATTAACAATATACACTAACATGCAAAAAAATATCAAAATCAATTAAAATTAAAAAAAAACAATTATAATTAAAAATAACAACATAAATATATTTGTTGGACATGGGTCCAAAAATACCTGAACGAGAAGGAGGCTCAAAGACAAAAGTGGTGTCAGAGCTCATTGGCCACGGAACAGCTCAACAGCAATGGAGCTTCAAGCCTTGGAGCCAAAGACTGCGGCCTCCATAGAGCCGAAGACAACAGTTTCTATTGGATTTTGGTACTTCTACAGGGCCGAAAGCAGCAGCTTCCATGGACCTTAGGGCAGCAACTCCTGGACTATGGCGACTCCATCCCGGAACAATGTTTCCATAAGGTCAGAAAGTGACTGCCTTCACAACATAAAAAGCAACAGTTATTATTAAATTTTAAATTTTAAAATTAAATTTTAACTTTTAGTTTATATTTTTTTTTCTTCATAATTATTCAATTTAATTTTAAAATTAAATTTTAAACTCTAATAATATGTACTTTCTTATCTCTTCTTCCTAATTATATCTTTCCCATCTTTACAAATTTAATCATCGTCTACGTTTTTCTACCTCACACCCTATCGCACTGCGTCCACCAACTCAAACCCAACCTACCCCACCTTCTCTCTTCTCTCTCTTTCACCCTTACTCAGTCATTGCTTTTTAACCTTCGGATAGTCCGTCTTTCATTTTCTTTTCTCAAATACTACCCAGATCGTCGCATTGAATCTCTTGTCCAATCGATGCCAATCAGTGATATTATTTTGAAAATACATTTTAATCATGTGTTTATAGGAGCCTATAATTAATTTTTCGCTCAGGGCCTCAAAAAAGTCCTAGACGGCCCTGGCTCTGGGTTAATAATTTCGTAGTTAACATTAGTGGAAGACCTATGCACTTTCATACTTTATTCAAAAAGCTCCATGGAACAAGCCAACAAGAGAAAAATCGAAGATTCCATTTAACTCGAGGCTGTTGGGGATACGTCCCCGTGGACCAGTTAAGAGTACGATGGAAACAAGTCGAAGTAACCAGATCTGGTCCAGAGGCAATGGAAGAAGTTAAGAGCAAGTGGAACCCGGTCCAGAGGCAATGGAAGCGGTTGTGAGCTAATGGAAGGAGGTTACTAGGTGGTTAGGAGGTTACCAGGGAGCTGATGGAAGGAGGTTACCAGGTGGTTAGGAGGTAATAGAAGGAGGTTACCAGGTGGTTAGGAGGCAGTGGAAAGAGGTTACCAGAAGTTGGAGGTAGTAGTGGGAGGTTACAAGACGGTTGAGAGTGGTGGATGAATAATTGTAACCGCCCTGGGAGATGTGGTTATTCTAGCTTAGGATTAAAATTAGAGAAACAACACATCACACACAAGAAGATCAACTCGTAATTTTTCTCTATTTTCTTTTCAAGTTTCTAGTTTCGTTTTTAGGCATTTTAATTCGAATTACATGGCTTTATGTTTCTAGCATATTTTTATCTGTTTTCCAGTAGATTTATCCGAGTTTTAGTAGATGTTAGTTTAAACTTATCGAAATCGATCATTTAGGCTCGAAGCCTCGCTTAGGCTCGAAGCCATGCAGGATTCACCGAAGGAGCCGCCCAAAATCCGACGACGGACAGACTCTTTGGAGTACTTTCGGAACCCACACCGACAAATTGACGAACATTCTTGGAACCTCCAAATTTTAGGATCCAACAATATTACTCTCTTCCTCGACCAAATCTGTTCTCACTTTTTTTTTTTTTGTCATCCAAATTTATTTCGTTTATTTTTTTTAGTAAAATATACCATTTTTTAATTTTTTTTTACCAAAAAAAGTAAAAATTACTATTTTTACCTATTTTTCTTAAAATTCGTATCCGATCAAATGAACACATAATTGAATAACTTAGAGGGTAATATTTTTATTTAATTATTATATTTTATTCGGTATTCTAAGTATATATAATATAGATATATACATAATATTGATATGTATCCTAATCATGATATACAGGGAATTTGTTTTATATATATTGTGTTAGGATACAAAAACGAAATAATGTAGTATTCAAAATTTCTTGCATTTACATATTTTAAATTTATGATATAGTATCATACAAAAATTTATTTTGCAATATCATACTATCCCAAAATTATAATATACAAAAATACCGTATTTCAATATTGTACGGTATGAATGGTATACAATATGTATATATATTTTTTTTCATCCCTACTTCCACACTTCCAATCCAATATATATATATATATGAAGCGTTCTTTAGATAGAAATTATAAAAGTTTCAAAAAAATATATATATTTTTTTCTACTCATAAAACATAACATCAAATATAATTTAATATAAACTTCAAATAAAATCTTTTTAAATACGTTGGCTTGAGTCTAAAAATACCTGAAGATGAAGGAAGCTAGGTCAGAAGCACAAATAGGAGGTGACTAGAACTTCTCGAAGTCGAAACCTTCTAATCCGCCGGAATCTCCTACTCACCGGACAATAAGGCTCCAAAAATGAGGCTCCAGAGGATTGAATTTCAAAGAAAAACTCCAAAAGATGAGATTTCAGGAGAATAGACTCGAAGACGAAGGTGGAATTGGGGCCCTCAGGCCGCGGAGCCGTCCAGGTATAAGACCTATAATGGGTTGTGATCAGTTTGAAAAGAGCACACCCCAAACATGAGATCCAACAGGAACAAAGAAGAGACAACACATAATAGAGAAAGTGATTTGAAAGAATAATTAACATACTTTCTAAAATTTAAAAAATGGTTGCATTTCAGTTTTTTAGATTATATGCAATGAAAACACACAACACACATCTTATCCAAACAATCAAATTTTATCTTTATATTTTCCTGATAGTTTATTCGTAGATATTTTGTTTTATCTAATTATCTTTTAATATCCTTTGCATTCAGTTAATTTTATATTTTATGTTAATTTATGTTTTCATGTTTACTCTATTTGAATTCTAATAGATTTTAGCTTTATTTCCTAAAATTTAGCTGTTAAGTTGAAGCCATGCTATGGCTCTACCACCGGAGCCGCGTCCCAATCCGACGATGGATAGGCTTTGTGGAATACTGCCAGGATTTACACCGCTTGATCTTTCGGTACTATCATATCCCGAAAAGACTCGGAATCCTTACCAAAAAATTTAAGTTGAAGCCTCGAGAAAATTTATTTTTGATTTTACAGAGCCAAACTCAAGTAAACACCCTTAGAATTTTTGAAAATATTTGACAATAGTAAAAACCAAACTCAAGTAAACACACCCTTAGAATTTTTGAAATTTTTTGACAATAGTAAAAACTTATTTAATGATATTAAAGAATGTGTGCCCTATTTATTAAGTAGATCTCACCCTCCGTGATGTTATCACAATTCAAATGATATTTCTAAATACTTTTTAAAGAGGCCTTTAATTTCATGAAAATGGTTGAGATATATATAAACATAATTTATATTTTGTTTTATATTAGGGGGTGTATATAGTAAATTGGATTATGTTGTACTTTTAAAATCTGAGTGTATTTAATCTAAACTTTTAATTTTTTTTAAAAAAATATAAAAGTATTCATTCAATCAAAATTTTAAAATTTTTTTTAAAAACTGGAGGTATTCAATCCAAACTTTAAAAAAATCTTTTAAAATCTTGAAATATTCATTTAAAACTTTTAAAAGTTTAAAATTGAAAGTATTCACAAATTTATAACTTTAAAATTCTATTAATTTTATTGAATACTAATAGAAAATTATAAAAAAATTGTATAGTTTAAAATCTCTCTTGATAACCAAAAATTTTGATGAATTTTAAAACTTATTATGGTTGTTGTTGTTGTTGCTGTTCTACTGTTATTGTTGTTGATGTATAAATGATAAATAATATGATACTAATATTTATTACACTACAAGAAAAAATCAGTTTTGTAACAAAATTTTTTCGTCTTTAAATCTACTTTTTCCGTTACTAATGACATTAGAGACGGAATTAGGAATGAAATTACGTTAGCTAAATGAACTTTAGGGACGGAATTCCGTTATAAATATATTATTTTTTTGTAGTGTTAATATTATTATAAATTATTAATAAAAAATAATTATTTAAACTTAAAACATACTAGTGAATTATTATCATTTTTTTTTTAAAAAAGATGTATTTTTATATTATAAATATAATACTTTAAAAATACTATTCTCTCCGTTTCGACTGAATTGTCCGCATTATTGTAGATATGAGAATTTAGGTAAAATATAATTAGTAATTAATTAAAAAATTTATTACTAATAGTAGTTATTTTATAATATAAATAATTATTGTAAAATCATATTTTCAAAAACGAAAAATACAAATTATGTGGGATTACAATAGAAAAAATAGACATTATATGAGACAAGGGAGTATCATGATAATAAACTAGATTAGATATTATACTCCCTCCCTTCTAATTCAAAGTATTTTTTTTTTATTATTTTCGTCCGTCCACTCAAAA